CAGTATATACTGTATAGTTAGGTTGATGAAAAGCAAACAAGATCATAAATCTTAACTTAGATGAAATCAGAGAAAACATGAATGTTCAGGAATATTTCAATTGTTTGAGATTATAAAATTAGTTTTCACCAAAATATATATTTTGTCATCAGTTTTTTTAAACTTGCTCATATATACAAATATGTACAGCTTTATATATATTTTTTAAACTGTCAAAATACCAAACTATTATACAACACATCTCGGTATGTRCCAGGTATGTAAACAGTACTCACCCATTATGTATTTAGCAGGTAGTAGGTACATATGAGTACATACCTGGTACATACTGGTTAAGTTTGTAGAAAATAACAAGTATTACCAGGTTCATATTTAAATTATAATATAAGCATATTTACAAAAAATGTATTTACCCAGTAATGGTAACGTAACATGTAAGTATGTGGTATATACATGGTACACACCTGGTACATACCTGATACATACTGGGCATACACCTTGTGCACACTAGGTACACATCAGGTACATAACTGGTTTATACAGTGTAGTATATACATGGTACACACTGGGTATACACCTGTTATATACCTGTTACATACACACTTGGTACACAACTAGTACCTGGCAGAAGCCTAAACCAGAGAAATAACAAAAAAGCTAAAACTAACAGACAGTAAGTAGCTAAAAGCCAAAATAAGCCAAACAGTAGTTAAAATATAAAATTAGCAGAGCTAATAGTAGAAAATAATATTTAAAAAAAGAAAATAGTAACCAAATCCAAATTTATCAGAATGTTAGTTACAAAACAAGCAAAGCCAAAGATGAAATAAAAATATTTAAACTATAGCTGTAAGCTAAATTTATCAAAACAAAAGCTAAAAAACATGTAGCTAAACACTAAACCAGGAGAAAACGATAAGTTAAAGCTACAGCTAGAAGAAACTGTAGCTAAAATCCTCAAAATGAAGCAGACACTAAAGTAGATTTAAGTCATATTAAAAAATCATAATTTCAGATAGCAACATTATAAACAGGTAAATGTAATAAAAAGTATTGTCACATAAACCAAAGTCACATGTGTAATCCCATGAATAATTTCCTAAATGAGTCAAACATGTTGACAAACAGCAGAAAGTGTGGGGCAGAAGCTACAGCTGAAATGAAGAAGTTATAAACAGAAAAACACAAGCTGATTGCTGACTCAGCAAAGTGGATCCTTTAAAGAAAGTAATAAAAACTCCTGATCTTTGGTTACTTTGTTCTGTCCACATCAGCTCGCTGACGTTCAGTCGTTCAGAYGGTCGGCTGTCTGAATGTCTCCTCTCAATCAGAGATTTACAGAATCAAAGGACTTTTAAAGCACAAAGAGAAAAGAATGAAACATCACATTAAGGTGAAGCGCCTGTGGCTGCAGCTGTCATTTTATCACACAGCCACGCTGGGAATCAGAGCCGTCAATACGCAGAGGGAGAAACGCTAATGGTCCACGTTCAAAAACACCACTCAGGCTGAAGCTGATGGAGAAATTGCTGCGCAGCCTTTCAGCCACGCTGATAACACAAAGTTCAATTTATGGAAATTTTTAGTTGCATTTGACAGGTGGAGCTGGTAAGTGCTTGGTTAATGTGGTGTAATAACAATATGTCTGAAGGCAGACCCATCAGAGCTTCTTTAGCTCCAAACACAACACAAGTCTCCAGGAAAAGTACCTTATACTAAGTACAAGTACACATATAGGTCTTATAAGGCCTGACAAGTACACAATAAGTACCAGGGATGAATTCTAGTTCAGACTAAGTGTTAGGTTTGGGCGGTATGAAGGTATTTTGGTATACTACGGTACTGAAATATGATGACGGTATGTAAAAATGATGATCAACCCTAACCCTAACTGGCTGCTATGAAAACTGAGACAAACATACGAGGCTCTTTCAGAAGAYGCCCCAGAAGTTTACTGACGTGTTCTGACCTCAGCTCAGTCAGAAGACCGTCCAACATCCCCATTCTCACTCCCAAGTCGTCACATATTCATGCTTTTCCATGGTTCTGTCTGCGTCCGGTGTTGACGCGCCAGGTACTGCCCCCCTGGCGTCAGTTATTGACGAGATGGGGCGGAATCCATTGTCATAATTTCACAGAGTGTAGAAAATGCAACAAAAACTAATCATCCCAAAGCCTAAAATTACCTTTCTTCACTCTATCCTGTCCCTGACCCTAGTACCTGAAATTAACCATCAACCCTGATCCTTAAAGTTAACCATTTTTAGAAAGTGTAGGAAATTCACGTCAACTACGTGTCCCAAACCCTAAAATTACCTAATATTCGCCCTAGACATCATATCCCTGACCCCACTACCTGAAATTAACCATGAACCCTGATCCCTAATACTAACCATGGACCCCAATTCAAAGACCCTTTATTTTGCGTCCCAACGCATCAAGCCTAGACGCCGAGGGAAGATGGAAATGCCTGGTGCCTCAATAACTGATGTGACGGGTGTAAATGACGCGTCCAAATAAGACGCAGAGGGAACCTTGGAAAAGAGTTAAATATGTGATGAGTCGGGAGTGAGAATGTGTTAGACCATCACAGAACAGGGTGGATCAGGGACACACTCGTCTGTTGCACCTCTTAACTCCGAGCAAGTTAAAAATAAAATAAAATAAAAAACTCAGAGCGAGGTAGTGACAGACACGTTAGTCGCCGGCTCCTGAAAAGATGGGCCAGCTGATGCTGACTGACAGCTTCAGAGACCACCCAGCCGTGGGCTAATTAACTTAAACAAATATCTGGACCCATTTCAGATTTTAACTTTTGGTTATTTTTTTTTCGAAGAATAACTACAAACTTTGTTGGCACAAAGACATTCCTGTTTAAAAGCATGCAGCAGAGTTGATACGACCATGGTAAGTAGATCATTTTGAAACTTAAAACTCAAAAAAGATGGAGTTGGACTAATTTTTGATGTTTGCCATAAGAGGTAAACCATTCTGAGACTGAGCTTTTTTTCTATAAACCTTCACAAGCAGCATTTCTCAGTTACTTATTAATTACTCAAAAGCCCCTGTCCCCTGGTAATACTGTACACTGTGGTATTTTTTAAAGGTTATACCACAGTGTGAAAATGAATACTGCTCAACCCTACCTAGTCTTCAAAATGGTTCCAAA